GAAGAGTCCAGTAACACTTTTCTGAGCCACAGAAAGGAATTACCCCACTACTAGCCTTGTTTCCTCATTTGGGAAATGGAGATTTGTCATGAGGATTAAATATACGTAGATTGTAACAGGATCGTGTTGCTCAATAGCCAGTGGCTATTAGCATCATATATGTTATGGCCCTGATCCAACCCCTTATATCGGAACCTCTAGAGTAACTGTAATCCCATTAAGAGCAGAGACCATGTGGCCCTCCCTGGTGGCGCAGTGGGTTAAAGCACAGCACTGAGAATCTAAAGCCGCTTCCGCATGAGTTCGATTCCCACCTGCCCCAGAGGTGACCACATCGCATGGCAGACCTCTCCTGACCCGCCCGCTGCTCCCCTCAGCAGTGTACTTCGTACATCTGCCTGTTCGGCTCCCCACTCTGTCTCTGGTGAAGGCTCTCACCGCCCCTGAGCCTCTGGCCTGTACCCCAGTTCTGTATGCACAAATAAATAAATCTTAAAAAAAAAAAAGAGCAGAGACCATGTGCTCGCCTTTCTGTAACTCATAGTTCCAGCACATAGCAAGAAAGGCATACATAAGTGTTGAATGTAATAATTCTTTCTCATATAATACACCTCCTCTTCTTCCTCCAATGTTAGTCTCCATGGTTGTTAGGAGGACCGATTTTAGGGTCAGATGTTACTACCAATGTGAATTTTGGCAAATTACTTTATAAGCTATGTCTCATACATAACATGAAGAAAAGACAGAGAATGAATGATAAAATATAGTGAAGAACAAAGCCTGTCTCCCTAAGTGTTTGAACAGCTTTCTCTATTACTACTACACCTCCTCTACCACTACTATGTTATTATCATTATTATTATTGCTGTTACTATTTATTCTTCTAGAAAAGGAGGCTTCTTCCCCATTGGCTGCTTAGTCAGCTGCCTACTCAGACACTGGGTGGAATGAGACTTGAACAGAAGGAGAGGGAAGTGGCTGAGCAGTTTCTTTCCTGTAAACTTCTCTTATGTCCTCAAGGTGGTGACAACCAAGATAAACAGCTCAAAGTTTGAGCCACCCCCTCATTACACTTAATACCTTCCCCCTCATACAGATGTTTAGTGTATCAAGTCCCCTCTAAGCACTGCCTACTTCCCACAAATGTGTATGTGTCATGTTTTCATTTTCACTCAGTATAAAACATTTCCTAACTTCCCTTCAGATATGCTCTTAAGCACTACATTGTTTAGAAGTGCGTGGTTTTCCAACATTTGGGAAACTTCCCGTTTATCTTTAGCTAATTTCTAACTCAACTCCAGCATGGTCAGTGAACAAATTTTCTATGACTCAATCCTTTCAACTGCGTTGAGACTTGTTATATGACCCAGGTATGATCTAGCTTGACAAAAGTTCAATGTGCACTTACGAATGTTTTCTGTTGTGATGTTTTATGTTGCCTAGATGTAAACTAGGTCAAATTCTTATTTGTATGGTTCAGGTCTTTCTATAGCCTTACTGATTTTTTTGTCTCCTTGGCATATCAATTATTGAGAGACCTGTTGACATCTAAGTCTAAAATTACAAATTTGTCTATATCCCCTTGAAGTTCACTCAGTGTTTGCTTCATGTATTTTGAATGTTATTTAGGTACATATTTACTTACAATTGTTATGCCCTAATGATATATTCACCACTTGATCATTATGAAATAGCATTCTTAACCTATTTTTGCTTTGCTCTCTACATTTTCTGATGACAGCTCTTTTTTTATAACTGATATTAACATGGTGTATCTAAAGATTTAACCTATTTCTGTTTTATATTTAAAGTGGATTTCCTACAGGCAATATATAATTCTATGTCACCTGAGAGGGGGAGTAACAGCAGTTTTGTGGGATGAGGATGACTCCAAGTCCATATGAAACAATGAGAAGCCTAGAGCGGCTACCCAGGAACAGAAATGCTCCCCCCCACAAAAGGGGGGGTCTGATATTTATTAACCTGAAGTACAAAGGTGGGACAAGTATGTAAAGAGGGTACCTGGGTGGGGGAAGCAGTCACTGGGGACATCAGCTAGGGTGGAGTGACCAGGGGCTATTGCCTGGGGTGCTCCATTGTTCCCACTAGTCCAAGTATATCATCACTATTCTTATCTGCCTGCTCTTTTCAGCAGATATGGTTTTCCCAATGTTCCTCATACCAGGACTTTGCCCTCATGAGAGGTCTCCTTCCTGACCCTATACCTAGCTGCAAGCAGAACTCTGGGCATGCAGACAATATCCCTGAGAACAAAGGGTGTGGAGATCCCACAATTTGGTCTTACATTTTTTTCCCATGCTACCAACCTCAGCCTTCTAATTCCTGTGAGAACATTAATTTTAATAGGTTTATCAGGGTTCTGTTTAAAAACTACCATCTTGCTATTTGTTTTTTATTTGTCCCAATTCTGCGTGTTGTACAATATTTGAAAAAAGTAGTTTCCTATATTTTGCACATTTTTTTTTAAGTTAAAATGCAAGGGTAGGCCCTCCCTGGTGGCGCAGCTGGTTGAAGCACAGCACTGAGAACCTAAAGCCACTTCCGTATGAGTTAGATTCCCGCCTGCCCTGGAGGAGACCACATGGCATGGCAGACCTCTCCTGACTCTCCCGCTGCTCCTCTCAGCAGTGTACTTCGAGGATCTGCCTGTTCTGCTCCCCACTCTATCTCTGGTGAATCCTCTCACCACCCCTCACCTCTGGCCTGTACCCCAATTACAAATAAATAAATCTTTAAAAGAAATGCAAGGGTAAATTCATCACTGTTTACTTCACTGCTCAAAGTGGAAGTCCTTTTTTTTAATACTAATTTGTTATTTACATAATGTTGTAATGCATATGCCATATATTTCTTCCAGTTTATCACTAGTCCTTTTACTTATGATAAAACTTTTTCATGAAGAGATTTTTAATTTGTATGTCATTATTTTCTTTCAGATTTTGATGTCATGCTTACAAATGCCTTCCTTATGTTTTCTACTGATTTGGCAAATTTTAAAAGAAGAAAAATAATTCCTAGTATGAATGAGTTTTATTTCTAACAAAGTTTATTAGTTATAAAAGTGTTTTGTCCCAACTTCTGTGACCGGCGGAAAGAAAGGAAGGCAGGAGGCAGAAAGGCTGAGCAAGCAGAGTTTATTGCTCCGGGACAGCAGCTGAGAGGGAGCCCCTAGAGTGGGGTCCGCAGCTACTGCCAACTCAGTAAGGGGGAAGGGTCTCTTATATAGGTCCTAAGCTCAGATTTCAAAGGGGTGACTCATCACTGTGTCCTTGATGTAAGGCCCAGTTTGCTATCACCTTCATCTAGTCCCATCCCTACGCAAGGACCCATTAATTAGATGGAAGGCCCAATTTATTACCACCTTACCACCTTTGGATGCAAGGCCTGATTTATTATTGCCTTTATCAAGTCCCTCAGTAAATCTCCACATTTGGTCACTCCCAACAAAAAGTAATACACGCATGTCTTAAAAAATCAAGTGGAACAGAGGGCTAGAGATGAAAATGCACACTTTCCTTTCTTCTTCGCACTGTACCTCAGCTTCCAAATTCCTCTTGCTGGAGATAGCTCTTGTCAGCAGTTTCTGGTATATACACTTCCATATGTATTTGGACACACATACACACGCAAACATATTCTTTTACGCACAAACAATAAAACGCATATACACAAAGTTCAGCAATCTTTCACTTACATCTTTAAGTTCTTATCATGACTGAGTTTTATCATGTGTTTACCAGACTCACAGAGGGAACAGGGTAGTCAGAGAACACAGCAGGGAAAAGGCACAGGAAAAGGCATATTCTTCTCTATAAAGTCAACACTTAGCACAAAACCTGGCACATAGTAAATGCTTAATAAGTAAGTGTAAACAACGAAAGGGGAAAAGGAGCTTGAGAAAACTGAAAGCAAATTGCTCTTGATCATTCTCCTCAGACAAGATCAGTCCTGCCCCTCCTGAGAGTTACCATCTCCCAGGACAGCAGGAACCATACACCACGACAAATGAGGACATGCACAGCTGGGCCGCTCGCTGAGAATTAACTTCCCGCCAGGGTCTCTTCCCCCCCTAAACTCACTGCCTCCAGCACACACATTTAGTTCAAATGTGCAGTTCACACTGACAACACAGCAGGAAAATATGGGAGCTCAGAGACTACACGGCTGAGTTATATTGCAGGTATACACTCACATGGCTACCATTAATCGGCACCTACTACTAAGAGGCGGCCCCGTGCTGGCAAGAACAACTCTGGGAGGTTAATGCCATGTTATCCCAATGAGAAAACTGCGGTTCTGCGAATCCAGTGACTAACTCAGAGTCACAGACTCCCAGAGACAACTCTACACTTTGATCGTGTCCACTTGCTTTTTATCAATTCTATACCACATTCATTATTTCACAGGTTTTATTTGTGCTACTATCCTTGCCTGACATTCTGCTTCTCCACTAATGTCATCTGATGGCTTATGGAAACGAGGTGAAATGCTTAGAAAAAGCTAGGGCTGTGCAGGATCCACATCTGGCTATCGCAAGATGCCGTTGGGCATCAGGAGGGAGTCAGTCAGCGAGCCCTATGAACAAGTACAAAAACATTGTGGACATATTAAAAGTCCAGCAAGGGACTCGAACCTGGAAAATGGAGAGCACCCTGAGGAGCTTAGGATGTGGATCCTGTGGGAGCTTAAGAAACTTGAAAGCAGGGCCCTCTGGTGGCGCAATGGGTTAAAGTGCAGAACTCTGAAGCTGGTCACAGCTGCTTCAGTACGAGTTTGATCCCTGGCCATGGAGGTGACCCACACGGCATGGCAGACCTCTCCTGACCCTCCATTGCTCCCCTCAGCAATGTATTTCAGTGGATCTGCCTGTTCTGCTCTCCACTCTGTCTCTGGTGAATCTTCTTATGGCCCCTTCACCCCTGGCCTGTACCCCAGTTCTGTGTGCATAAATAAATAGATTTTATAAAAAAAAAAAAAACTCTTAACGAACGCAAACATTTCTTTCTCCTCAGGTGCTTTTGGCAAGTCACTAACATACACAGCCTTGTTGCCCCGATCTTGCAGACACGGGCCAGCATGTTTCACCCTGCCTCAATCCTATCTTTTCACAAGACCCATATCAAGTCTTATGTCCACATACACTTCCTCTGTTAATTAGCTCATTCTTTTCTCTTGTGAATTATAGTTTTGCTTCAAATCAGCATCATAAAATATAATGTATTGCTATATCTTTTTGTCCTATAGTCATTTCGAGTATCTTGTTTCTTTGAAGTGGCCTCATTCACATGTCTTCTTTCTATTGCTTGCCTGCCTGGTCTGAGTGTGGGAAACCTGGCTGGATCCAGTCCCCATTGTCGCACTTCTAAGTTAGGGGACATGGCACAAGTCACAACTGCTCCAAGCCTCACTTTTCCACCTTCAAGGGTTTTTGTGAAAACACAGTAAATTTGGCAACACAATATATGAATGTAAGGTATTTATTGCTGGACATGTGATGAAGTACTTCTGTCTTTTATATACTACTTATGGATTGTTCTAAGTAAGAAACAGCAGAGTTATTTGATTCACACCAGTGTCCTTAACAAAGGGTAAGCAGTTTGGAACAAGAATACTGCACAACTGTTAAAGACAATGCCAAATGCAGCTCTATATGCAGCTGACCAGGGCCTTGCCTCAGAGACTACCAGGAAAATCCAGGCTTGCTCACTTTTAAAGCTTCCATCTTTCTGAATGTTTCTTCATGTAAATGATCCGTGTCAATGCTAAGAAAAATGAAAAGAATCACGTGTCATGTCAGGTCAGCAGATGCCTTCAGTCGCTCTCCTAATCGCAAGAGTAAGATGCCCATTCACACTTACTCCATGGTGCACTGATTATTTCATCTACTGTCATCTACCTCAGCCAGGCACCTTCCTTGGGTCTCAAGAGACAAAGTGCTTATATTCCTCTTGGATTGTCACTCCCGCTACACCCACCTTGTCCAAGGCTCTGCTCCCTTAATTCATCAGCTTCTACTCCTGTATCTCCAACCTCTCCCTTGCTATGGAATCCTTTCTCTCAGCCTATATCAAAACAAATCAAAATGGGAAAAGAACTATGCCCTTCCTGCAGTCCCATAATTCCCTCTAGCTTTGATCTGATATTGCTACTCCTTTTTCATAAACTTCTGGAGAAACAGTCTTCATTCCCTCTCTCCTTACTTCCCATCTCTTCAAATCACCACAGTCTGATTTCTGGTGCTACCACAAGTCCTTAACAAAGTCACCTGTGACATCCTCATTGATAATTCCAACAGACACTTTTCAGTACTCATCTTTTTTTTTTTTTTAATCTCTCTGCTGTTTGATACCATCAATCATGTGTTCCTTGCAGGTCATGTTTTCCCTTAGCTTCTGGGACATTTCACTCTCTTGGTTTTCTTCACGGTTTTCCCAAATCCACCTCTGAAAATATGGTATTGTCCAGAGCTAATTTTCGAGAGATATTCCTCAGAGTTTCTTCTCTCCTCACTCTCTCTAATATAGCTCATCCATTGTCATAGCTTCAACTATCATCTTCGGGGTATGCTCCTTACCCAAACGGGGCCCACCTATCAGAAAACTCCCCATAATTCCCAAAGATCCACAGACACATTAAACACAACATTTGTGTCCCTGATTAAAGCCTACTGGCTAAAAAGAAGACACAAACACCTTTGAGTGTGTAGTGAGGTAACCTGTCTACTTTTAAATGGATAGAAGCCAATTTTTCTCTAGCAAAGTGAAATGAGTAATGCTGTTTATTGAGCAACTGTAATATAGGAGGACATTTAATGCCATGGAAGTGTAACGCGATCTTTAGGATATTTTGAACAAATTAACAAAAGCTGGCCAACTGCCTGCTACGTAGAATTCACTCCTAGGGAAGAGGTAGGCAATTCACTCAGGAAACCCAAGGATCTTCTGGGAGTTAAAAGGCTGAATACTCTCAACACCTTCTGTCTAAATTTAGAATTAAGGTCAGGATAAGCTGGGGGCTTTATCTAAGACACAGGACTCTGAAGGCACCAAGACCCATAAAAAATAAAATTATCTTGATGAAAGAGGATCTTACATAGAATCGCTGACTCAATTCAGGGGCCTACATCTTTGTGGGCAAGGATAGAGTCCACAATACACACCTGTAGCTGATTTTGGTAACTCTTCTAGACCCAGCCACTCTGGCACATGTGCTATTTTGGGAAACAGTGGCTGCATGTTTGGTGGTAGACTATGGTTCATTACCTTGAGGCCTTAATATAATGGCCCTGCAGGGCTGGCAGGTCAGACTAGCCAGAGGACCTGCTAGTCCTCTGCTTCTGTGGGGCTGAGGTCATTTCTCAAGATCAAGCTGTTAATGGCAGGGAAAAAACACAGCACCAGTGGACTAACTCTCCAAGCAACTTTGGAAGTGGAACTGGCTCCAACTCTGGGGCCAGTTTTGAAAAAGTGGGAAGTGTCCCCAAAATATACTAGCAGAGTATGAAGAAAAAGACTGAATTTGCACTCAGAATGTTGCTTGACACCCTACAAGGCTCTGCCTGTATCCCCAGTCTTACTTCTTGATACACTGTGCTTCACCCTCATGCTCTGACAATAGCAAACTTCCTGACGACCTCTCACCCTGTTCCCATTAAGTCCCATAAGCCATGCTGTTCATTGCCTGGCTACATTTCCTAAGCCTGGGCTACCCTTTTCCATCCTTAACCTTATTTCCATGGTTATAGTCTTGAGACTGGAGGTTATAGTCTTGGAGGCCCTTGCTCCATGAAGCTTTCCCTGACCCCTAGGACTGGATGAACTGTCCTCTGCCATGGCCTTGTAACTGAATACGCTATTGTATTCAGTTTGTGTGCCCATCTTTCCCAAGAACACACTAGCCCCGAAGAGCAGACCTTGTTTCTTAATCCTGTCTCCCATCACCTGGCACATTTTCCCAGCACAGAGCAGAAATTCAGTAGGTACTTGTGGAATGAATGAAGGCGAGTTCTGTCACTCTCAGGTAACAGCCTCCTTTATTCCCCCACTGACCTTCTGAATATCTACACAGTCTTTATTGAATATATAATCAAATGCCTCCTTCCCCTGTCCCTGGATGCTCTAAATTACTAGCTGATTCCCTGCAGGTATTTTCTATATGCATCTTATATACTTACTATATGCAAAGCACTGAGCCAGGAAATTCACGGGGGGAAATTGCAATGAGGAGTAGGACTCAAACCCCACATTCCAGCAGCTCTTCGAGTATAACCTTCTTTCCCCAGCCTTTCCAATTTCCAGAGAAGAGTGTCCCTCTGGGGGACCATTTTAAATGATCCATTGTTTTCTCTCTCCTTACTTCACTAAGTATATTTTTGTATTGATTTTAATGTTGTTTTATAAACTCTAATATTCAGCAATTTTTTAAGATAAGTGAACTGTGTCTACTCTGTGTGTGTGTCCTTTATTTTGTATTCTGAACTATGATCACACACTGCTATCAACTTGTCGACTGGCAAGTTATAGAGGTTTGAAGGTTGGCCTGAAAATACAATGAAAGCACACTGGCTAAAAGACAAAGAGTGAGAGAAACAGGAAATGGTACATATATTTAGAGTACACACAAAAAATACTAGCATGCCATTACCAAAAAATAATTTCTCCTTGCTGTCATTTCGGATCTGAAACCAGGTCTGTGGAATGATCTCTGTTATACAGAGCTACCACATAATTACTCTGTATTTAAAGAAACACTTGCATTGACTGTTGAGTTTAGCTCAAATTGCTGATCATACAGACCCTAACCACTTTTTCTAAGAAGGAAACCATGGAGGTTCTTAATCCTTGAGGTTTATCATGTTATGAATAATTCCCTCTCTCCTGGGCAGTAATCACCACATTCTTGAGCCTTTGAAACTGACTTCACTTGCTAGTAGAAACCCAGCTTCTGTTTCAGCCAGACTTGTAATCAGGTCTTTATGCTGTTTTCATTTACATTTCAATCCATCAAATTGGCTTTGGAATGTGGAATTTTTGCGCTTGGCCTTTATTTTCCATTTTGTGTTCCAGTTCTGAATGCCAGAAATGGATGGCCATTTGGCCACTAGTTAGCTGCCAACAAAGCATAGCTGTATCCTAATTAAGAATGACTTTGTGTGTCATGCCAACCTGCTGAGCTGGCAGACGGACATTGACCAGAAGAGGCAAGGTCTCCACTTTCAGTAATTGCTCCATACGATACCTTTATTCCCTTGAGTCTTGAAGAGTCTCAAAATGTAAACACTAAACCGTCTAGCAGATATTAGAAAAGGAAATTGAAAAGAGTCTAACTGTTGTGGTGTATCTCCTATGATCCAAGAATTGTTCTGGGTATATTCATAATTAAGGTCTCACTTCATCCATGCTCACACAAGCAGTCAGGTATGGAGTATTAGCTCCATTAGACAGACAAGGATGTAAAGTTCATAGAGGTTACAGAATCATGGTCATGCAGCTAAGCAAATACTAGACCTGTTTTTTGGTGTAGGTATGGCCTACTCTCAGTTTCCTTCTCTTTCCTCACTGCAGCAGGCTATGAGCAAACCCAATGTGCCATTGCTGACTCCGCCCTCCCACACCCCCAACCACAGCAACTTACTAGAATGTCTGTAGTTTACATACTGGATCAATCAGTGCATCACACAGCATTTGTACTCCACAATCCTTGAGGTCATTTGCACTTAAATCTAACAACATTAGGTTTTCATTTTTGTTGAGGACAGAGGCAAGGGCTTCACAACACACATCTGTAAGATGACATTCTGCTAACCTATGGGGGATCGGGGATTCAAGAGAGAAATGAATTTACCTCAAATCCCACAACTACCCTCTATTTCATATACAGCCTTAAACAAGAGCCCAATTAACAGAGCCCCTGTGTAACATACCACAAGTTCTGTAGTTTGCAGGAAGGGTGTTTCAGCCCTTCACACAGCACCTGCATGCCTTCATCCCCTAAGGCATTGTCACTGAGGTCAAGGTCTGTCAAGTGTTTATTGGTGTAGAGTGCATTGCACAAATCCTGACAACATTCTCCAGTCAGGTGACATGTCCACAATCTGCCGGGAAGCAAGGTAGAGAAGGTTGGCATCATTTCATCTGTACTGAGTCACTTTAAGAATTGTATTTTTCACTTGAAAA